AATACGTCAACCGGTCAACCAGATAATTATGTACCTACTTCTGCAGTTGTGCCTTTCACTGAGTATTCACTTAGAATGTAAATACACTCACATCATGCTTTGCTCCGTGAGCCCTTAGATCCCTCCTCCTCAAACCTCCCTGGTATCACTCCTTTCTATCTTGTTTCTTCTAAATGGGTTTGCTAATGACCATGATCAATGCAAGGCTACGCTTTTGACCATCTCTCTTCCAAACAAGGTTTTCAAAGTAAAATAACTAATAAGCTCAGTGGGCACATTGTGCACCATTCTGAAAGGCTGCCTGTAGGCGGGAGCGCCACTGTTCATTTCTGAAAGGTACAGGCATATTTTCATAAGTGTCTATAAATCGATGTCTAATTTCCTTCAGCCACATCAAAGATTCTTCTATGATTTTGTCTCACTGAAATAAGCCATTGAGGCTGTTCGGTCAACAGACCCACTCATGCCTCTTTGAGTCTTTGGTACTGTACTCACACCAACACATTTGACCATATGGAAGACAGTCTTTCCTCCCCAGGCAAGCACTAGTACAATATATTATTACCCATATTTTCTACAGGTCTCTGCTAAGACTTCTAGTAAGAGTCAGCAGAATTTGAGCTGCTGAGTCCCCAGTGTCAGCCAAACGCATTCAGCTGTCCCCCTTTCCAGCTGCCATCATCCTCCTCATTCTCGGGGAGTAAACCGTGTTTCCCAGAGCAAGCCCAGCAATACCATACAATTAAAATTGAAGTTGGCAAGTCACTGGATTTGACTCCCTATTTTGGCCTATGTTGAACCCCAGCTCTAAGAAGAGCAATCATAGACGCTCTTTGTCCTTGAATACATCTCAAGCAGAGAATTTAAAATACTAAATTATGCCATTTTGTTAAGCCTTTGGTGCTTAAAAAAAAAAATCACTTCCTCCTAGAACTCTTGTATTTCAAAGTCTGCCAAGGTGACCTATTCCAGGAACCACTGTAAAGACTTGCCCATAGAATAGACAAGAACAACAGCACAGTTTCAATAAAGGACTTTTTTGCACTTCATGCAAAGACTACCCTATGTTATAGGGCATACCAAAAAGACACATACATCAGAGACATGTACCAAAAGCCATCATTGGAAGTTCATTTTCAAGTTGCAGCCAATTCTCAAAGTTTCCCAGTCCTAAAGAATATGGTCAGGATGAAGTCCACCAGCAGCCAGAGCAGGGGTGAGATCATCATCTATTCACATCGAGCCAACTGGGACACCTCAGCTATACATAGTAGATCAAATAGACTTCATCTCCAGGACTGCTGGGGCACAGATCCTCTTGAACAGGCCCAGTGCTAGCGGAAGACAAACAGACCCTGTGTAGCATCAAATTCCTCTTCCCAGAGCTTGTTGCAGCTGTCTTGGGTCATACATGAGCTACCTTAGCAGTGAGCAGTCCACAGCACTTCAGGCTTTGGTCCTAGACTAGGGCTATGCTGGTCTGTTGGCAGAGTATGGCTGATAGTATTGTTGACTGTGGATGTGACATGGAAGTCTGAGGCTGGTTCATCTGTGATGATTCTCTGTGAAGCCAGTCTATACTTCCTGATCACAGCCTGGGGGTTATAAATAAAAATGCAGGCTTGAGGTCTTGGTCCCCTAGGATGAACCTTTAGGAGTCGACTACATGTCTCACGACTTCATCAGAACAACACACACTTCATACACACCCAACTTTGGGGCAGCCGCTGGTCCTCAGACAGTGACCACACACCAGCAGCGCATTCCTGAGGCATCCCGAGCCTGGGCACCACTCAGGACTAAGAAGGGGCGTGACTAATGCCTCAGAAGTAGGCAAGCAGCCTGTCTAGGGGCTCTGGGATGACAGGTGAAAAGCCAGATCAGGAAGATAAAGTGAATCTGTACTCCTCCAATGCCCAGGTGACATCACACACCGACAGCACCAAGACTTTCAAGAAATCGAATTCTCCCATAACAGCCAACATGGGATGGCAGGAGCTGACCATTCGGCCATTCCTATGGATGGCTGGTACACTGATGGAGAGTTTTATAATGCTTTAAGAAAACTCAATGAGAGTCAAGAAAATACAGAAGCAGTTCAGTTATATTACAAAAAAAAAAAAAAACTTTTAAAAAGAGATGAAAGCAATTTATAAAACTCAAACCAAATTAGTTGAAAATAGAACTACCCAAATTTAAAATGTGATAGAAGGTATCAAGAGTGGGGGAGGTCTCCACATGGAAATACTAGAGAGTGGGAAGGAATGTTATTTCAAACTATAGCTGGAGAGGAAAACAAAAAAGAATGAAGAGGATGAAGAAAGCTCACAGGAACTGTGGCCCTGTGTTAAAAGATCAAATATTTGGGCTACCAGGACTTGAGAATAATGACGGAGTACAAGATTATTAAAAGTAAAAAACTGACAAACACTAAAAAGGATACAATTATTAGGTGCAGGGAGGTTAAAACATCGTCAGATAGACTGAAGTTACGTGTACCCCAAATTTAGCACCAAGCTCTAAAGAGGCAATGAAGAAGCACATTCTCGGGGTAGAGACCTAGAGGAAATAGCAATAGGGAGTCAGACGCACCAGATACCAAGCCAAGGGGCAGCGGCATGAGATCAGACACTGAAGCAGAAAAACTGCCCCCTAGCAAAACTATCCTTCCAGAAAGGAGGAAGGACAAACAGAAGCTGTGAGAGTAGATCTCCACTAGACATTTCCTACAGGAAATCACATGAGGGCAGTTTGCCACACTTCAAGAGACATTGACACACAGTGAGTAAGGAACATAGGAAAGTGTACACACTGGGAGTAATCACAGAGAAAATACAGGGGTCTCTCGCACAGTGAGAATGCAAGTTCACACAGCCCCTGTGGAAAACAGTCTGGAGGTCCCTGGAAAAAGTTCAAAATAGAAGAAACATATGATCCAGCAACCCAACTAATACACATCCAACACTGGGATGGGCACATCGGACAGTACGTAGCCAGGAAAGGCGGACAACTGAACACGTACGTGGCTGGACTGAGATCTTGTTTATGCCCAGGCCGGCCCACAAACACAACACTGCATGACCTCACTCATGTGCCGAATCTTAAAAAGGTTGACCTTGTAGAAGGCAAGATTAGACTGGTGGCTACCAGAGGCTGAGGAGACTAGGCTAGAATGAAGGTATGAAAAAGGCTTGACCGACTTACAGTGCATGGCAGTAAGTCAGATGTTTGAGTGTGCCACTGAAAGGTAACATGATTATGTGTTATAATAATAGAATGTGTACTTCAAATATTCAGAAGAAATGTATTACAAAGCTTTCACCATAAAGATATGATGGGTGTTTAAGGAAACGCAAATCTCCGGATGTCCTTGATAGGAGTCTGTTCATCTTATGACGACCTGCAAAAGAATCGCCTACTACATACCTCTTTCCCCACTTCCCGAGGATGAGAACACACAAAGCAGTCAGGGGAGACAGTTATGCCATGCAGCAAACATTAATGAAGTGTTGCCAAAGCAAACAGCAGTAACAATAAAAGGCAAACCTGTTTGGGAGTTAGTGTATGAGCAGGTTTAGTTGAGTCACACAGTTCCATGTGGCCATGCCACCCCTTCTCTGTTCACTAATGCCAGCATAGATGCCCCTTCTAGACACAGAATACTTAGAACTATGGGATTTTAAAGAATATTTTCATCAAATATCAAAAATAGATTTTTTTTCCAGGAGTGGTGGTGCCTTTAATCCCAGCACTCAAGAGACAGGAGCAAACAGATTTCTGTAAGTTTGAGGCCAGCCTGGCAGCAAGTTCCAGGCCAGCTAGCAACAAAGTGAGAACCTGCATTGATAGATAGATAGATAGATAGATAGATAGATAGATAGATAGATAGATAGATAGA